ATCCAGAGGAACAAATGGTAACAAACCACTGGAAAGTCTTTGGGACCACAGCCCTTGCTTGGTTTCCCACCCAGTGAAAGGCTTGTACTCTTGGATGCCAGTTAGTGCTTTGCTCCAGATCATGAGCAAGGTAATGTGAAGACAGAGGGCTTAGAAGGAGAAATACATAGACAATGAGAAGCACAAACCATAAAAACTATCAGAACCAGCACTGGTATTTATCACAAATTTCATCTCAATATCCCACATAGACATAACTGACTTTATCCAAAATTTCAACATAGCCTATTGCTCACAGGGAAGAGTCTCATAAATTGGTTTGAATTATTATCAATTTTCCCTTTGGCCTCGCTGTTCCCCAATTGACAGAAATGTTTCCTCCTTACATCTAAAAAGTGTTAGACATTCCCATAGCTACTTAGTCAAGGCAAACACTAATATTTTTCAAGAGAAATTTTTCCTCACAATTGTAATGAAATGTTTTTAGGTCTCAGGAGGAAAACACCCACTCTTCTTTTTTTTAATGACCTAGGTTTGCAAATTGGTGAAATACCCAGGCAGATCTGAGACACAGGCCCTTATGGTTCATTACAGGATAGGGAATGCCCAGGCAGGAAGGCAGACAGAAGTAGTGGTGGTGATGGGGTATTGCAGAAACAGACAATGAGTAAGGGTCTCTCTCAGGAGCAAGGTAACAGAATAATTAAGAGCACGGACAGCTTGGGTTTGAATCCCAGTTTTGCACTTAACAACTGAGTTATCTAAGGCAAATGAAGTATCCTCTCTGAACCTTGATTTCCTTATGTATAAAATGGGGATAAAAAGAGTTCCTACCAAGTAGAAAGTATTATTGTAGTTCCATGGCAGGAACTCAGAGACTTGGTATCTAAGTTAAATAAATTAAATAATTAATATTTGTAAAGTGCTGGTACATAGAAAAATTATGTGTTAAATAAAAAATAGAACTCTAAGTTATACATAAGAGATACAAACCCTTGTCAATTTAAGCAGAATTGGACTTTATTTAGAGGATATTGGCTAGCTCATAGAATGTCCAGGAGGAATAAATGGACAGACCTCAGACCTTATGAAGACATCATAGACACGAAGGGCACAGACACTACTGATGCTGCAGTTTGCCGATGTCATGATATTGGACCTGGGATGTTGCCAATAGAAACTGGAAGTAGCTGCCTCCCTCTTCCCCAGCAGGGATTCTGTAGTATCCCTGCTTTCTTGGGCCACCAGCTTCTGAGTCCATGGCTGGGGTAGGTGGAGACTCATCTCTGGGGTGGAGGTTCATGTCTGGGGTGGGGTAGGTTAGGGCTTATGCCATAGCAGCAAGGGAACTTCCTTAGTGGGAGCTCTGCCTCACAAGTTGGGGGATTTCCCAATTTGAGAAATGAGATTCAAACACTGGAAAGTCAACTGAATGCTAACTGAGCAGAGGGCAGTAAGGAAGAAGAATTATAAAAATAGTAAATGAAAGAACCAGCAAATTCACACATAAGGCTAAACAAATTACAGACCATCTGAAGATACATATTGATAAAATCTGGGTGAGAGTTGTTATAAGGAAATGAAAAATGAATAGAAGATGAGATCATCTGGAATTCCTTACGGAGCTCAGAAATAGTGCAGGGGAACTATTAGGTTTTCAAATGTAGGGGCAGAGAGGTATGATACTTTTCATCACCCATCATAAATGTCATGGCCAACATTCCTATAATGAACTAGAGAAAAGTATAATGAATATATTTAATCTAAGTTTTACATGACACAGGAGCCTTCAGAAATGAAGACCTGAAGACCTAGGGAAAACTCTCTTTTTATGCTTAGATTGATGAAGAATGGACAGCCATGCAGAAATGTGATTGGACAAAAAAGTATGATCTGATAGTAACAGACTGAAGGGGGAAACACAGCAAGGTCTGTTTGTTCAGATTTTCCTTGGCCTCTCTATGTAGCAATCCTTCCTCCTGGGTATAGGGGTCTTCCTTCCAGAATGAGGGTCTTCAAGGAGAAAGGGACAATGAAGAGAGTGACCTTTCTAGGTTTTATGGCTTGCTTTGGGGGCATGGGGTTTTAGTTTCTACAACTCACCTTGGGGAAGAGGAATTTTGGTTTCTATAATTCACTTTGGAGAAGAAAGAGAAGCAGGAAACAGGAGGATGGGAGAAGCTCAGAAAGACCTTGATTCAGAGACCTTTCCAATTTCCTTCAGCTCAAAGTACTCAACACGCCAAAGCTTTGCATTAGGGTATTGGGTTCTGAGCCCAGTAGAAACATAAGTTTGCCTTTGTCAATTTCTCCCTCCTTTTTCAGGGTCCTCATTCCTACATTTCTATATCCCAGGCCCTTCATCTATTGTAATCCTCCTTCTTCCCCCCTACCCCAAGCACTATTCTGCATTTCATTTTTGCTCTCAATCAACTGACTATTGATTCATTTTCCTGCAAAGGTGTTCACCAGTGATAGAGGTGGCAGCTGATAAATCATCAATATGTGAAGTCTCCCAGGAAACACTTGCATTTCAAGAGAAAAACAAGGGCTTCGAACTTTGGAAGAAAGACAAAAGATGGGAATAGCTGTGTGGTAGAGAACTCTTCCCAGCACTCAATAAAATCACTCTAGCTAAGGCATCTGCCTACATTGCCAGCCCAGCTCTCCAAAGGACCCTTCCCCATGGCTGGCTGGCTGCAAATGAGGCAGACTTGTCTACAGACAAAAGGCTTCTGAGGGTCACCCACTGAGAACCTGCCCATGACAGGGCGCATGCACCCCCATTCCTTTCAGTCGCTATTTACACCACCTGCCTTTTGCCACATGAAGACATAGCCTTCCTTAAAGCCCACTTTACCCCATTCTTTCCTTTCCCAAAGGTTAAAAATAGTACTCTTTTCAATGATCTCAATAATTTAGAGCCTATGAATAAGTCATTTGCCCAGAGGCTACACTGGGGCTTCTATTTTTACTTATAATCTCTTGCCAAGCAAAGTGACCTCTCTCAAGGAGCCAATGATGACACCCGTTGATCTTTTGGCTTCCCAGGGAAAGGCCCAGGCAGACCTTGCAATGCAGTCTTTTCTCAAGGGCAAAGATGGACTAATAGGTGTCAGTGACTTCAGAATGTGAGTAACCAGATGTGAATTTAGACTTGTATGCCTTGCTCAGAACTCCTGGAGCTGCCCAGAGCATGCTGCAGAAGGAACACGTTCTATAAGTAGGACAGGCAATTCTGCCTATACCGGCCCTCCCCTCCGGCCACTCTTTCCTAGGATGTGATTTTCTAAACATTGAACCTCAACAGAAGGGCAATATGAAAGCTCAGGCCCTTAACCCACAAGACTGCCCTGGTGTCCCAACCCCATGCTTCCCTCATCTCCCTTCAACTCACATTCCCATGACCCATCTCCTCTATGTGCTACTCTCAGGAAGGTTAACCATTTACTCTGGGCCAGTCTTCTGCTAACCAGGAAGACTCCACCTCGGGTCTTTTGGCCACTAGTCTATAAAAATAAATTTGATATTTTTCCCCTCCTATTTCCATACCCAGGGGTTGTCCTTGTTCCCCTTTCCTCAACCACCTACAGGATTCCCAGCCCTAGGGCTCTGCTGGCTCCCCTAACCCCAGCCCTCAAGGCCCTATTCTCTGTTTTTATTAACCCCAGGAAGCTACATTAAGCCCTTTCGGATGACCTCATGTCTCATGATTCACAAAAGTATTAATTCATTTTCAAAATGTGCCCCTAGAAAAATACTCATTACTGGCCTAGCGCGGTGGCTCACGCCTATAATCCTAGCACTCTGGGAGGCTGAGGCGGGAGAATTGCCTGAGCTCAGGAGTTCGAGACCAGCCTGAGCAAGAGCGAGACCCCATCTCTAATGAAAAGAAAAAAAAAATACTCATTCCTCTTCCTGAACCTTACTCCCTGCTCCTGCCAAAAGTAACATATATATTTTCAGAAAGTGAGAAACTTCTACTGTTCTTTCACAGCCCATTGTTGCCCTTCTATAAAATAAATAATTTTTTGCCTCACATTTAATGAAAAGTTACCATGTGGCATGTACAGTGCTTAATTCTTTATTGATACAACTCATCTACTTTTCTCTAAAAATTCCCCCCTCTAATGTTATTTTCCTTATTTCACACATGAGAAAACTGAGGCACAGTGACTTGGTTCATGGTCACAGGGGCAGAAGCAGGATTTGAACCTAGATGTCTCACTCCAGAAGCTATTGCTCACTAAGTTCTATGGGACATAAGACCATAGCTCTTGCTCTCCTTAGTCCTCAAGGCCCTGTAAGTAAGGGCTCACTTTTTCCTCCCTAGGAGACAAGGTGGCTTCCATCAGTCACATCTTTGGTGAGCATCCCTTACTCCTTATCTGTCCTCTCTTTCTGCCAATTTAAGACAGTGAATAAGCAGGAGTAAATATCCTTAACTGAGAAATTCCTGGTCTAAAATTCTTAAATTATCGCTACAGGCCTCTTTGAGACAGGGCACCCTCCACGGTCCATTCTAACCATTTGAAACAATTGTAACATGTATGCATAATTACAGTGAATTATAATAATCAATACCAGCTATCAAATTGGTTTTTCCATACCTTTGAAAAGTAGAACTGAAGTTTTTCAGAGTGAGTTATTCATGGGAGTCTATTTGGCCTCTAGTTTTGACTTATGAATATATATAGTCTTTAAACTTTTAAGCTTTCATCTATTTATTCAACAAGTGTCTTCAGGAGTTTAAAAACAGACTAGACACCATTATTCTTTGTAAATAATGCACATAACCATTTTTTAAAAAACCAACTTCAATGTATTGAAACACTTTAATTAACAGCAAACCCCATCAGTGCTTCTAAACTGTAAACAATGGGGAACTGAGGTGTCAAAGGAAACACATTAGGGATCATATATAATAGACAAAAACCCTTACATTTTCTTATTGCCTTTATGCAATCAACACATAGTATTTAAGCAAAACTGAATCCTTATTAAGCAAACATTTTTGCATATACTGCCTTCTCTTCATCTTTCTGTGCCTTTATCTTCTGTTTGACTTTCAGCAACTCTGCCTGGATAGCTTTATCTTCTGGTGCTATCTCCTGAGCTTTCTTAAGATCAGCCAATGCTTGATCATATTCTTTTAATCCTTGCCATCCTTGAGCTCTGCGGTACAGAGCTTTGGTATTTGATGGGTCTATTTCAAGGGCCTCCGAACAACTGTCAATTGCTCCCTGCCAATTTGACATCTTCAGTTTACAAGCACCAATATTCAGTACACAGCTTAAAGCTACAGGTTGCAGCTTAGATCTATCTGCTTTCTCAAAAACAGCCTTTGAACCATCTACATATCTTAAAACTTTTGTATATTTTTTAATGGCCATCTCCCAGTTCTGGGACTTGAAAAAATTATTTCCAATGTTTTTTAAGTCTTCTGTTATTAATAAAATTTTATCTACATCTGTTAAATCAATATCCGCATCCTCAGGGAAATCTGGATGACTGTCACCAGAACCATCTTTTGGGGCTATTCCCCAATCATCCCCTTCCTTCAATTCTTCACATTCTGCAATAACGCACAATTTGGCAGATTTCTCACCTTTCACTTCTACATTTTCCGGTCTCCTTGCCACACCTATTCCTTTAATTACTTGGCCAAACACCACATGTTTCCCATCCAAATGAGGAGTTGCAACTGTTGTGATAAAGAACTGAGAACCATTTGTATCTTGGCCTGCATTTGCCATGCTCAATAAACCCTCTCGATCATGCTTATAATAGAAATTTTCATTTTCAAATTTTTCACCATAAATACTTTCTCCACCTGTTCCATTCTGATTTGAGAAGTCTCCATCTCGAATCATAAATTTCTTAATAATTCGATGGAAAGGGCACCCTTTGAAATGGAGAGGTCTCCCAGTTGTGGGTCCAATGCCTTTTTCTCCTGTACACAGTGCACGAAAATTTTCTGCAGTTCTGGGTACAATATCTGCAAACAATTCTAAGACAATTCGACCAACTCGCTCCTCTCCGATGTCCACGTCAAAGAAGACTCGGGGGTTAGTGGTGTTGGAGGGCTTAGTTTGGGGTGACAGGTGCGACATTTCGACTTGCAGATGCGTTTGGAAGCAAGATCCGGACACCTCGTCTATGAATATATTTTGAATAGTTATAACCCAAAAGAGAATTCTAGTTGGGGTTTCTCGGAGAAGTGTAGCTCATTTATTCATTCAAGTACCTGCTATGAGCTAGGTGCTGGATTGAATAGCCTTAAAGATCCCTTTTGATTTTAAGAATCTAGAATTCCAGGACAAAGTTGAAGTAGGACTAGGAGAATTCATTGGATTTTGTAAAACAAAGACAAGAAGGGACAGCTTTCCATATCATGTTAGTGAAGGACGCTGGTAGGAACAGTAGTGGCTTATGCTGGTGTGGGTAAGTAGATCTCTCTAATAGAGCCAAGGGAGCTCTCCAGAAAATCATGAGAAATGTGGTTGGGTCGGTAGTCTGAGCCAGCTTATTAGATGCCTTAAAAATCAGGCAAAAGAGTTCCAACTTGGTGCTATAGACAAGAGAAAGCTGTTATCACGATCCCAAGCTGGTGAGCACTATGAAGAACAGTGTTTCTTTAGGGTGAGAAATCAGTTATCATCTCCAGTGAAAGTGAAGCTTCCCTCTCATCATATTGACAATTTAATAAAAATGAACATTTCCAATTAGAATAGAAAACTAACTTCCCTGTGGCCTAGATGCACAGCACAGAATGGGAGACATTTCTCTCCCCTTTCACAGTTCTTATTTTCTCTGTAACCCTCATGTCTCAGATCTGTGATGATGTGGTTTGCTAGATGTTCCAAAAGCTGCTAATAAGATGCAGCTATAATCTATTCACTCGATAGCCTTTGCTAGAAACCAGACTACCTTCCCAAACTGCTGCGTTTCCTGGGTGTCTGCAAGGGCTGCACAGTGTGATCTGAGAGGGCCACACAAGGAGAGGGCAGCCCTCATCCAGGACTCCTCATCGGGCTTTCAGGGAATAGAAGGCACTAGGCCTCTCACTGACACAAAGTCAGAATGAGCAAGAAAAATCCATGTGGGAAAGGAGACAGGAATGCTTGAAGAAAGAAATCGTTCGGGAACCAAGAAGAAAAAACCAAGGAGAGACTTAAGGAGAGACTTGAGACTTGACCATAAAAGTCACCAACATTTCTGTTCAACATCACACAGAAGACAGAACAAGAAATAAGCAGTCTTAGAGGGAACAGGACGGTAATATTATCTTCACAGGTGGGCTTGCGTCCTAGCGACGGGGTTCAGGACACACCAAAATATAACGATAGAAGACCGGAATATGCTACTCCAAAACATGCCTTTTTGGCATAAAGCTTATCTTGAGCCGATAATTTTGAGAAAGAAACTACAGACACAGGAGAAGCTCTGAAAACAGAGTAGAAGTTAAACTTTTGTAAGAGAAATTTACATTTATAAAGGAAATGTAAGGGTGTCTCCTTTTTTCACCAGGAAGAGAGGGATGACTAAATCACTAGAGACTCTTATCAATAACAAACCCTACCTATTGTTTACTGTCCTTTTCCTGGCCATCTCCCTATAAACTGCCTTTCCCTACATCCTTCTTTCTTTGTTTCACCAGAGGATAGTACTTATTTATTGACTACCCTTAAGTCAAAGTCACTTCTTTGAGATGTACTCTGGGTGATTTCCTTGAGTATTTCCCATGTATACAGGAGGTATGCAAGCTATTACACTTCTGCTAATCTGTCCTTTGTTACCGGCAGTCTATGAAGAACTATGAAGGGTAGAGAGAAAATTATATTTCCTCCCCTATAGCGGCAAGGCCTGTTAACAGATCAGGTTACCTAAGGAGGTTGTGTGTTGCAAAATTGGCCTCTTTAGGTCTTAAAAATACCTCCAATTGGTATTTGCCTAGAAGTGGGCTAAGAAATAACTTATTGGAAGACAAGAGGATGCCTTTCCAGGTCGTTCCTAATCACATAACTATGTCATTTTCATTTTATCTGGATTAAATTAATTTAACCCAAATTTTTTGAGAAGGGTTAAGGTCTGGGGTGGTTTTTGGTGAGTTCTTGCCCATATGCCTTCCCTTTCTTGTTCCCTATGTTTGAGAGTATCTCAGGCCCTTCTGTCTCCTTCCAAAAACCCACACCTGACTGCTCCAGATCTCAGGAAATCTGCCCTTCCTCCATATTCTGCACAGTCTTTGCCACACATTTAAACCATTGAACAGAAGCTGTTTTGTACTCTAGTATTGGCCAAGTGTTGGTTTTTAATCCCAATTTGTTGCCAATTCAATAAGGTGGAGGCAATATTTTATACCTTGCCATTTTCTCCTAGAGTGTGCAGGATGCTGCAGTCTAATAAATTTTTATTGGTTGACAGCAAAAGAAATATCAAATAAATTATATATGTAATTTAATATTTATTGAACATCTACCATATGTGAGGTGCTTTAAAATCTTTGTTTAGCAATGCTCTTGAACTCTAGCACTTTGAGCAAACGGCCTCAAGGGTAGATTAAGATTTTGTTAACCAAGTGTTTTGTCAAAGGCAAGTCATCGGTTACTTAGAACATAATCACACACAAACGACTAGTAAACATCGATTAAGGTGTAAGTGAGGACTTGGTAGCTTACCTTAACTGCAGTGTCACATCATAAATTTAGAAACTATATTCCTCAATGCTGAAAGGATTGGAGAAGAAATTTTATTTGACACTGAACAGAAGAAACCTTGATTTAAAAAGATAACATCAGAGAATATTGCATATTCAGTGCATACTAACCTGACAGTCTGTCCTGACACTTGCAGTTAGAGTAATAAAGAAAGACTGCTGGAACCCAAGAGAATGACAGAAGTGTTGGTTTGGGACCAATAGTTAAATGTGTACAGTGGTGGATTGCTTTGTTTTCTTAGACTTTTAGTGTCAAATTGTTATATAGAAGCAGAAACCTATGGACAAATCCCTAGGAGTGATCTATTTTTAGAATGAATAAAAGAAAACATTTAACTGTGGTCTAGAGACAAAGGCCAATTTAAATTAACCCCTGACAGAGAGAAGTTAAGGATTAGCAAGTATGTATGAGTCTTGATTTTTCAAAATCTTTCTCTTTAAGTATCATTCTTTGGAAATATAGCATCTTTAAATTTGCCATACTTATTTAAAGAAAAAAATAATGACTATTGAATAGAAGAGCATGGCAGTCCCTCCACTAACCTTGTTGAAACAACAAAGTTAGGAAATCTGGTTGATGATGTTAAGATTCATACCCAAGGCATAACCATGAGGACTTGGTAGTTTATGGCAGTGTTACATCATAAATGAATAATGATTACATGATGAATTAGACTGCAATCAAATACCCAAACATGACAGGAGACACTTTCATCTTCAATAACTCAGAGGACCTTAGGAATCCTACAGTACCCTAGGGTTTTGCTTAAGAAACTTTAAGTTGAATCATGAAAACCTGGACATATGAAGACCTGGACATTTGGACTTTCTGGTTATTTGGACATAATTACAGTCTTATCATAGATCACAAAATGAATAATTAAGATAATAATTAGATATTTGGCATGCCTTTCCTATTTGTCAGGAACTAAGAATTTAGCCGTCCTTTAAGTTCTTAGTACTTTTACATTGTTGTTATGTAATGGTAACCATGATAATTGAGTCCCAACTTTATCAGTACTTCCCAAACTCTTTCACAATATGTGAATGGCTCCCTGGACAAATGTAGGGGGATGCTGGGGCTCTGGCTTCCCAGGGCTCCTCCTGCAGGCTCAAGGGTAAGAGAGACCTTTCTATATCTCTGCTCACCTAGAATCCATCATGGGTACCCTGACAGGGAAGCTCTAAAAATGGCCAGTTTGGGGCCACTTTACTCACAGTCCTCTAACTACCATGAAAATAAGTTCTTCCAACAACCTCACACTCACAGAACTCAGCTTCTTGGGTTAGGGGGAGACTCCAGGAGCAGAGGGGAGATGAATAGCCTCCTGAAGAGGAGGACTTCGTACACATTCTCAAGTGAAGTGAGCAGAACCCCCAGCTGTTGTCCTCAGGGAATTTTGCTGACAGTATGAGAGTGGGGCATGATGTCACGGGAACCTGGCTTGGCCAGCTCAGCATGGTGTCCATGGCAGCTGATCTGTTCATCCAGATGGAAAGATCTCTTCCCCTGCTGCCTCCGACTCTGCCCTTCTCCCTGTCAGTCTGAATGATAATTGTAAAGCCATGCAGTTCCTTTCAGAAGTAGGCCATGGAAGCCAGGGCTGGGCGTGTCATTGCTGGCATGTTGCAATTATCACCAAGGATGGCTCTGATGACAGCATATAATACATGTGGTGTTTTGTGCTAAAAAAGTCAATGCCAGTGGCTGAAAAAGCAGAACTTCCTGAGAATCCAAGCACAGCTTCAACATGATATATGATCTCTGTGGGCCCCAACTCATGGTCACCTTTCTTTACTCTCAAGCTTATTCCTACAAAATAGTCCATTGACCCAGTCCTTGGGAAGCCATAAAAGGAGAACATTCTTCTCTGTTTAGGAACTCTTCAGCTCTTGACAGAGTGTCAAGGGGAGACTATATAAGGTGTATGTGTCAGAGCACAGAATTTAAATTTATATGAACTTGAGAGGAAAATGTTAGCCTCAGAATAGGACTTTAAAAGACTCTGAATCCTAAGTTTACCATTTCGTATCTGCATGACTTTGGGAATCTTAATTAACTTCTTTGACCTTAAAAAAAAAAAGTGTAATACATCACAGACTTGTTAAAAATTACATGACTAAACAAATGTAAGTAAAATACCTTAGCAGAAAACCTGGCCCAATGTGAATGCCACATAAATAGTGTCAGTTATGGCTATTGCTACATTTATAGGTATTATTATGTTAGAGCCAAGAGAAAATTTCCCCTTCGCTCTCTGAAGGTTTGCTGAAAATCACTGCTAAAAGGCAGATTAATAGGAGAAAAAGCATACAAATTTATTTGATCATAATTTTACATGACATGGGAGCCTTCAGAATGAAGAGCCAAAAATACAGGGAAAATTGTCCATTTTTATGCTTAGGTTCAACAAAGTATGGACATAATATAG